TTAAAAATAACTGAACATATTTTTATAAAATAATTATAATTTAAAATAAGAACTTATTATAATTTAAAAATAAAAGTGTAATAATTTTGATTGAATTATCTTTCTTTTAAATCTTTTTAGTTTTAGATCTTTATTTTACATTATCTGTATTATAGATTAACTTTGTATTATATTTTTAAGAAGATTAATTTCACTTTGGATATATAGATAGTCATTATGTATTTAATATATCTAGATTTAGCATATTATTACTTAAATAATTATCATATATATCATAATTATTAATTTAGATTATTAATATTTTTAATTATATTTATTATTAATATTTCTTTATATTTTTATTTATTCTCTTTTATATTATTATTTATAATTAATTTTAAAATATTTAGTTAATAAAAATAGATAAATATTTATTAAATATTATTTAAATATTAAAATATCTTTATAAATATATTTTTATTAGATTTATAATATTTATTTTATAAATATTAAAATATATTCTTAATTTAAATTATATTTTAACTAATTATATATTAAATATTATTATTATTTATTTTTAAATAAATTTTTATTAAATCTTAATAAATTATAACTTATAAAAAAATTCTGTTAAAATTATTATAAATTTCTTTATTTTAATATTTATATTATATTATATAATTATTATCTTATATAATAGTTTGAAATTTAAAATTAATAATAAAATATTAATATTAAAAAAATAATAATATATTTTTTTATTAAATTATTAATATTTTTATTTTTATAATAATTTAGTTTTATAATTTATAATTAAAATATTTATTATATAATTATTTTTTTAATAATTAATATATTTAAGATAATTATATAATTTTATTTTAAATACTTAAATTTTTTTATTATTATCAAATATATTTTAAATAATAATGAATTAAAAATAATAATAAATAATAATTTATTTTAACTATAATTATAAATTAATATTTATTAAGATATTAATCTTTATATATATATATATTAAATTTTATTTTAATATAATAATTTCTTTTTATTATTAACTTCTCAAATATCAATATCTTTTTATTAGTAATATTAACTTTGATTCTGAATTTTATATATATATATTTTTTTAAATATTAACTTTTAATATTATCTCTTTTTAATATTATTATTAATATAAATTTGAGTTTCTATATATATAATATATCTCTTTAAAGATTAATTTTTATATGATAATTTTTTATTATTTTAAAAATTACTTTATTTTTTTATTTTGATAAATAATACTAATTATTTTATTATCTCATTTTATTTTTATAATACTATTAAAAATTCTTTTAATAATCTTACATAATTATTAATCTTTTTATTTATATATTAATCTTTATATAATAATATAATTTTTATATATCTTCTTTATTAATATTATAAATCTTTTTTACTTTGATAACTGATAAATTACAAGAATATTCTAATATTTATATTTTTATTTTTTCTATATAATATAAATTTATCTTATAATAATATATTAATTTATTTTTAATAATATAATTATATTTTTTTCATAATCTTATTATATTTACTATCTTAAATAAATATAAATCATATTTCTTTCTTTTAATTATTATTATTAATTAATATTTCTAATAATATAAATTTATATGTTATAGTTATTATTATCTTTATTATTATCATAATTATTATTTTTATTATTATTATTATTATTTTATAATCTTTATTATTATTATAATATTATTATCATTATTATTATTAATTATATATAATATAAATAAAGAAATAGAGCAATTAGAAAAAAATAAATATAATTATTCTTAAAATTCAAGCAAGAAATATATTAATAAAAATAAATAAATTTAAGTCTTACTATTAATTAACTTTTTAAGAGATATAATTATATTAAAAATATAGTTTTGAAAATTTTAAAGATAAAAATAGAATAATTATTAATATAACTGATACAATTTTAAGTAAAAAAAAAAAGATTAATTAATTGATTAAATTTGAAGAATTAAAAATAACTTTGATTATTTAGATATAATAAATTCTTTTAAAAAATTTAATTAATGAACTTATACAATTTTAGATAAAGAAATTTATGTAATTATTAAATATTCTAAAAAATAACTTTAAAATAAATAATATTTAATAATTTAAAAATTTAAGAAAAGTTAAAAAATACTCTAATCAAGTTTTTTTCTGATTATAAATAGAAATTAGTCAAATTACTTAAATAATATAGATCAAAAAATATCTATAATATTAATAAAATTAATCTCTTTTTTTAAATAATATTTTATTAAATAAATATAATATAAATTATCAAAGAAAAAAAATAAGAAATAAATTATTATTTTACTTTATATAAATATAATTAATATAGATAAGCTTAAATTATTAATCATTAAAAATTAGTAAAATTATAATATTTAAGAATATCTTAAAGAAAAATCTTAATATTAAATATAAAATAAATAAAAAAACTTTAAATAAAAAGTAATATTTTAATAATATCTTAATAAAATTATAAATAAATTTTACTTTTAATAATAATACTATCTTTTATATAGTTAAAAAGAAATTAAAGCATATTAAAATTTATTTTCTGTTATTAAATATAACTATCTATTTATAATTATATGATATTAATATAATTAACTTCTTTAAAGTTTATTACTAAAAATTATATTTTTAATATATTTTAAAAATGATAAATATTAGAGAAAAAATATCTTATTTAAATATTAAGAAAATAATTAATTTTATTATAAAAGTATAAGAAAATATAATTTCTTAAACAATTATTAATTAAATAGAATTGATCAAATTTAAATATATATAATAAAGTAAATATAAAACTTAAAATAAATATTCAAGTACTTATTTTTAGTATTTTTATTAATTATATATAAGTAATAATAGCTAATAACTTTATTAATTTTAATAATTTACTTTAGATAAAAAAAGTTATTATTAATAAGAAAATTATTATTAAAAAAATAGTTCTAAAGATAATATAGATAATATTAAAGTAATTCTGATATTATTTTTATTTATTTATAGAACTAATCATTTTTATTATACTTATAATAATTAGTTACTAAATAATTATTAGTATATAAATATTTATCTAGATTGATAAACTTATTCTTTTTTAATTTTTAAAAGTTAAATAAAAGAATTTTTCTTTATCAAGTTAAGTATAATAATTTCTTACTTATATATCTAATACTTTTAACTATTTATCTATACTTTCTTGAATATTTAAAAATAATTGTTTAATAATATTATTTTTTTATATTTATCTTTACTTTCTTTTTTTATTAAGAATTTTTTCATTTTAAATAATTCTATTCTACTAATTAAATTAAAATCTTATTAATCTTTATTTAAATTATCAAGTTCTTTATAAATTAAAACTAATTGAATCTTTATAATTTTTACTAAAAATAAAAATATTATTCTTTTATTTAATTATATATTATATAACTAATTAAAATTATTATATATTATTATTTTAATATTTTTAATATATTTAATATTAATAGTATCAACTTTTATTTTTATTTCTTTATAAGCTAAGAAAGATCTAAAAGTAAGTTAACAAAATATTTTTTCTAATATTTAAATTATAATATAAGAATCTATAATTATAATTTCAAATAATAAAATAATAAATTCTTTTAATTCTGGATATTTTAGATCAAAATTAATATCTATTTTATAAGTATATTTTAAAAATCTTTCTTTATTATTATTATTAAAGATCTTAATTTTTATTTTTTTATTAATATTAAATAAGTTATTTTCTTTTTTAGTTTTATGATACTTTTTTAAATAAGTAATAGGAATTTTAACTTATTTCTTTTTGTAAGATTATTTTATTAATAGTTATAAACAAGATAAAATGCAATATGAATAGTTTTAATTTTATAACTTATGATTGTTTTTATTATTTAAAAGTATTTAGATCTGAGAGAAAATTACAAAATAAAGAGATCTTATTTATAATAAAAAAATGAATACAAAAGTGAATAAATTAATAATGAAATCTATTTTAAAATATATATGAGTTAAATAGAATTAATTAACTTAATTCATGTCTCCAGAAGGCAACTAATTATAATTCAATAAGTAATAAAATTATAATATTTATATTAGTTTTATTTTTATTTAAATATTAATTTAATTAATATTATAATATTAATTTTATTATAATAATATAATTAATTTAATTATAATAATTTTACTAATTTTATTATTATAATTTTTATACTTAATTAATTAAAATCAAAATTTAAACTGAACTAATTAATTAATTAAAATTAAATTTAATAAATCAAATTATATTTAGTTATAATTTTTAGAAGAATACAAAAATTAATTTAATAAAAATAAAATCAATTTCAAATTCTAATTTAAAATTAAATTATAATTCTACTTAAATCATTTTAGTAATTTGATTCAAACTAGAATTAGATTTAAATTAAACTCAAACTGAATTCAAACTTTAAAAAAGCTTGATTCAAGTTTAGTTTAATTTTTTAACTTATTTTAAATCTAAGCTTCAAGTTTGATTTGAATTTTGAATCAGTAATAATCAAAAATAAAAGTTAATAATTATTTCTAATAAGTTATTTTAATTTTTATATTAAATAAAATAAAATAAAATAATTTTTTTAAAAAATAATATTTTATTATTAATTTATAATATTAAAACTTAGCAGATTGTTTTATATTTGATAAAAATATATTTTATAAAGATTGAAATTTAATTACTAATTCAAATTTTATATATATTATTACTGGTAAAAAAATTTTTATAAGATATTATATAAAAGATGATTATATAAACGAAAGATCCTGTAGGTCAAAGGGAGAGTATCACGTGAAACGCTAACAGCAGCGTAACAATGAGGAAAATCTTTTTAAACTAATTGACGAATTCGCAGTAGCTTTAATACACTTTGACTATTCCCTTTCGGGGAGAGTCTACAAACATGAGCTCATTATCAGATAATGCCTCATTCTCGAGCAATTCAACACCACCTACCTCATTCTTGGCAAACAATTCGCATCGAGAATCTCTAATTTTCGAAGACTCGTCGAGTCAACAACTCGAGTGTCCCATATGTAGCGAGACAATGATTTCTCTACTCCAGCTCAACCAGCATATCGACGACCTCCACAGCGACACGTCTATCGACCAGAAGGACGGAATACTGAACTGGTTCAAAAATGCACAAAGTACCATTGGAAAACAACTTTCGAAAACGACTCCGCTCGCAAAGAATAAACTGTCGAGCATCTCGAAGGATTTATCGCAAACGGTAATCAGCAAGCTTAGTGAACTTGATGTCGGCGTTGTGCTTGACGAGCAGCCGGACTATGTTACAAAGGTGCACTGGCAGAAAGAGAGCGAGAATGATTGTTGCTCGAACGCGGGTTGTGAGAAGATGCTGAATCTAAAAAATGGAAGGCAGAATTGTAGAAAGTAAGCTTTACCTTTTACATAGATTTTGTGTTGTTAGTTAAAAAAATATGATATTGAGTTCAAATACGCGTTGAAATTATCATGCTTTATATATTACGTAGGTGTGGAAAATTGTTTTGCGATTTTCATTGCCACTTTCAAATGCGTTTAAATAGACAGGCGCAACATGACCCAATTGACGGATTATGGTGTAGAGTGTGTGTCGGTTGCTATCAAACTCGAGAGGGATATCTGGCTACTCAAGGTAAGAAGAAAGAAGATACTTTTAATTCTTGGAGGATAATAACCTTTTTTTAATGCTATTAAAAATTTTGATTTACAGGTGTTGTCAGATCACATACGACAACTTTTGTCAAAGCTCGTCATAAAGGTCTAGAAAAAGCACATCTGGATGGGAATCGATTGGAGAAAAGACTTGAAAAAGTATGTCTTAAAGATATGTAAAAACGTTTACGTATCATGCTTATTTTGTTTTAGCTTGCTAGATTGTATGCAACACCCGTTAAACCTGTGATTCCTGGCAATCCGAGTCTAACACCTCCATTACCCACCTTGAATCATCGAAGAAGAGGTTAGATTAAATTAGATATAATCTTTATTTAATAATATGTTAAAGAATTTATTTTTTATAGCTTCTGAACAGTCGATCGTAAAATGGGAGGATGATGCTTCTGTGACAAATTGTCCTATTTGTGGGTGAGTTTTTCATACGAGAGAAATTGATTATTCTGGTGATAAAATAACGGGAAACTCTATTTACGGACCATTCATGCAATTAGAATTTCTTTTGGCAAAATTACAAATCGTAAACATCATTGTCGATTGTGCGGACGAGTTATCTGTGAAAAATGTTCATCAAAGGTTTCTTTAAACTTGCATAAGAGCAGTTCAGGTGTGTGCTTATTTTTTTTCCGCGATAAATATCATTAATTTTTCTTAACATGATTTCAAATATCTTAGAATCAGAACAAGATTCGGTAGGTGAAGTTCGTGTCTGTAGAGAATGTAGAACTGCTGTGTTTAGGCATGTGAAAAATATCTTTTCTTTTATTTCTAAAAAATATATAGTTTTAATATTAACTTTGTTGAAAATTTAAAAGGCGGAAAGAATATAGTGAGGAGATAGCGAAGCAACCGCACATTGTCTTGCTATACCAGGTAAACAAATTTAGTATTAAAAAATGTGACTTTATTGGTTACTATTTGAGGCTGACGTAGATTTTTTTTCTAGAAATTAACAAAAGTTAGATTAGCAATTGATGCCACTTTGCCTAAATTTCAGGACATGCTCGATATGTTACAGTTAAGAATCTACGTTATATATAAGTTTGCTCAAATTGCACCTTTATTAAATACGTATAAATTTATAGGAACAAAGAAATCGTGAATCAAACACATGCAGATTATCAACTTGCAGCTCGTACACGTAAAGAATTATTAGAAAATTTTGCACAATTTGATTCCATCAGTAAAAAGATCAACGCGTTATCCAGCACGAATGACTCAGAAAAACGCCTCCAATCAAACATTCATTTGGCCGCCAATCAATATCTTCAACAAAACATGTTGCCACTTTCAATGTTACCAAAAATTCTCAAAAATGATCCACAGCAACCACAAAAATTAACAGAGAATGGCGATGGTGATGATGATGATGAAGAGGACTCCGATTCCCCGGATGCGATTCTTGCTGCTTGGGCTAATGGACGTCCTCGTTCGTTGTCTGTGTCATCTGGTCGATCTATTAAGGGCGAGGAGAAAGTTCGACAACAAGTGGCAGTGTTGGAAGAACAGGCGAGATTAGTCGAGGGTTATATTCAAGAGGCATCAAAGAAAAGAAAGATCGATGATGTTAAGACATTGAAGGCATCTCTTGATGAACTACAAATAGAGATTAAGAAAAAAAAGAAAGAACTTGGCGAATTGTGGTGACAAGTAAATAATTGCGTTCATTCAATTATCTTTGTTTTCTAATAATAAATATGTTTTATAGTTCAACTACTACCTCCTATGCTTTAGATATATTGATTGATTCACACCACTTATTTATGTTTTATTTTGTTTATATTCGTCTTAAGAACTTTTGTAGATATGGCACGCACATTTTTTTTTTTTTTTTTTTTAAAAAAAACTGTAAAATAATACACGCGATCTCTTTTATACTATTACTACTACTACTACATATAATATATATATATATATATCAATTTGAAATCATGCTTGAAATAATAATTAATATTATAATCGCTGACGCGAGAAAACGGAGATTCAATTCAAAGAAAGAAGTTTTCTATAATATTTGCTATGTCAAAATTAACAAAAAATGTCTTGTGATTATAACATTATATTATTATTGTTGTTATTATTTAATGGGTAGATTATTGTTTTAAATTCGCTGCCGATTCAGTAATCACGATCACTGGTACCTCTAACTTCAACGGCATCAACATGAATTTTTCAAATCTTATTGTCAACACAATTTCATGTTTCACTTCCAAAAATGGTGCGTTAGAGTCAGGTTTCATTTTTGTCGTGATTGGAATTTCAAATGTTACGACGGGTGACGCGGAATCGTTGGCTTTTACTGGTATGGTGAGTGCTGGTGTGATCAAAGGATTAGTATGATGTGGATTTGGAATTGAAATTGCTGAAAATGCCGGAATTTTAGCTGTTGTGCGTTTAACCGGTGCTTTACTTGTTCTAGTAAAGTGATAGAATGTATTTATTAGGATGTGAAAAATTCGAGATCAAGAAGTTAAAATGATCTTTACGTTTTACTAGGAGTCGATCCACTTCCACCTGCAACTTTGGCGAAATTATACATTTCATATTCAAATGCCTCCACTTTGACTTCCTTAACACCTGTTTTTTCTGCAAGTGTTTCAAACGAAGCCTCAACTTTAATTGTGCCGCGTGGTTCTGCTTCATCTCCCTCTTGTTCATCGGTATCACTAACTATTAAATACTTTGAAATCAAAACCTTATATTTCAACAAATCCTCTTTCTCGTCTTCCCTCAATAATTTCTCATTTGGATCCAATAGCCCATCAGCATTCAAAATTCTTTTTCGTAGAATAACATTTTTCGAAGTCTTGTAAACGCCCGGGGGATGTCCACCCTTTGTAAGTTCCGCGGTCAACACATAACGTATCTGCGCGTGTTTCCCCTCAACGGTAGCAGGTAAACTCTGTGGCGACTTTATGGTTAATGCGAACGGGAGCTTTGTCTCCCCAACCGGATAATTTTTTGTAATATTCACCACGGTAAGCTTTTGTTTTATTAAATCTTTAACGTTCACGTTACGCGTTATGGCTGTTTTCTGGGAATTATCAAATTGCGAGTAACCGTGTAATTTTATGACTATTTGACTTAGTTTTAGGGGTGCAGAAAGGGTAAATAAGATTTCTCCTTTGATGGTTAACGGGGAGGTGCCATCAGGAATTGTTATGCTGGGAGAGGCGAGAACTATTTGACACGAGGTGACTTCTTTCAATTTACTTTCAGTCATGCTCTTTTATTTGAGAATAATACTGCCAATTACAGATTAAAAAAATAAAAAAATCGGAACTAGAAAAGTTTGGGACCTTCAATGAAACTTATTTCGGTCAATCAAAGCTAACGATATCGCTAACAATAACGAATAAATCAGTACTTTATAATGGTAACCAATTTTATACTGAACTGAAGTAAATATCAATGTATTAAAAAAAATCGCTATCCCTTCTTTTACTTGCATTTCTGTTATTGGTATCTGCTTGACGCCGGATGGATTGTTCTTTGACATTCCGCTATAATCTACCTCAGAGATTAACAAATAAATCAATGACATATTGCTGTTGATCACCGCAGATTACTACTTTTTGGTTTTAGACTTGAATTTCATTTATCTTGCACAGTTTCAGTTTCTGGGCATTTATTCACTTATTATTAGTAAAAATGAGCGGAGGAGTTGATGATTGGGATAAAAAGGTTGTTATTCGTAAACGCGGGGAACAGATCAAAGTCACCAAAGGTACCTCGGCTATTAATGCAGCGCGTAGAGCAGGTGCTGTTGTGGAGACAGAAAGAAAAAGTATGCTTTTATTATTTTCTATAATTATGCTTTATGGCTGTCACGACGCATACTCCTTCTCCGTTAAAAATATATGCATGTATATTTTTTGACCTTATCGTACATTAATTAATATGAATTGAAAAGCTACCGGTGGCACAAACAAAGGACACGTAGTTGCCGACCATCAACGTATAGCAAAAATTGATCGGGAGAATGAAGTTGCACCCCCTCCGAAGATTAGTCTCTCGGTAGGAAAAGCAATCCAGCAAGCGAGACAAGCTAAAGGTCTCAATCAAAAGGATCTTGGTCAAAAAATTAACGAGAAAGCTAATATTGTAAGTTTGGTTTGTTGTTTTTCATAATTTTTTTAACAAGTAGTTTTTATTTAATTTCAATTTTGGTTTTTTTATCTATTTCTAGATTAACGATTATGAGATGGGTCGTACTATTCCAAATCAACAGGTTTTATCGAAGCTTGAGCGTGTGCTTGGTATTAAATTACGAGGAAAGAACAGTACGTGAGACTTATCTTTCTCTTTTTCTATCGGTTATGCATTATTTTGTTTTTTATTTATTCTTTAATTTTTTAATTTATAGTTGGTGAACCTCTTGGAGGAAAATAAATGCTCGAGTGCGGAACAAAGGTATTAGATGGTCTAATCTTTGTTCCAGGTAATGGATAATAAAAAAAAACAATGGTTATCTAACTCTGACATTACTATTTGAACACATGTTCGATATATTTTTTTTTTCGACGCGAATGTTGTTCTTTCCTCCTTCTTTCTTTTCTTTATTTCTTTTTCTTTCTTTCTTGCTATTCTTTTGTTTCTTTATGAGTAAGATTTAGATGGAAATGGAGATGGAGATGAAGTAAAGATGTAGATATGGGGTTTTTAGTTATTGTGTGGTGTATTTCAAATGTATATTGTTTTCACGAGTACGCATAAACTTTATTATTGTTTATCTATCATGTCCCCTTTCTTTTTTTTTTTTTAATAATGCACCGCGCTTGGATTTATTTATAGGTGATATTTTGATGTGAAATAATAAAGTTCGCTTTATTTAATACATAATTTTTGGGTTGAGGATATTGATTGATATTGTATTATTTTGATTTTTGAGTTGGGATTCATTTTGGACACTATAATAAAAATAAAACAGTATTGATTGTGTGATTGCGCTATGTCTCGTAAAATGATGTAAATCATTTATTTGCGAATCGGTGAGGAAAGATAACAAGAACTATCATCGTAGAAACCCAAGAGTCTTACGGTTTCCTTCGAATAGGGGATCCTCATCCAAGAGAACAAGCGTGACTGGTAACTCAAAATTCGAAGATGTGCAAACCTTAATTTATACAAGTTAAACTCACTTCTATTTTGTTTTCGACCGTCTCTTAGATTCGCGTAAAGAAGAAATAGTATCCGAAAAAAGAGACACTGTCGCCAAAGATAATTTTGATCACAGCACTTAATCCTTATGAAATTCAGATAAATGTAATCACTCATTTTTATATGTATGATTTTGTCGATTCCTTTTACCCTTTTCCATAAGTTTCCTTTTGTTATGAGATATTGACGAGAGGTTAATCTGATTCTTATCTACGCTTTATCATTTTACCAATTTGGTCAATTCTTTAATTATCAATTGATTGAAATGGCTTTGTAACTTGGTTTTATTTGAGTATTCAATCATAAAAATTTAATCCCTGAACTTCGCTCATGATATCTTAATCTTTTTTTTTGTTCAAGCGTTCTGATCGAACTAAACCGAACTGAATTTTGATCTACGATTGGGTTTAATTTGAATGTGAATCAAAGTTTTAGGATCAGTTCAAATATTTGTAAATCAAATTTTGCTTTTTCAAGCGATGAGCTTGATTGTATACGCATCGTAAGAAAGTATTATTGATTTGAATATACTCAAAAAAAACAAATATCGAAAATAATTAAATTTCAAATGAACATTTGTTTATAACAAATTGATCTCCATTTTTTTGTCTATAAGCTCTATTATTAAAATACAAGGATTTTATAATGAAATCCAATGCCTTCGACCTATGGATGTTAGAAGGTTGATTTTTGTAAAATATCAAAATACAAATTTGTTAGAGTATTTTAACTGCAAAACAGATCAGGTCCAGAATAATTAATAAATCCTATTTGATATAACGGAATTATTGGCATAGATGAATTTGCTATATTAGTTATTTGTATATTATCTAAATATGCTCTCTGATAATACGTTCTGTTTCAGATGCATGCTATATTTTCGATAACGAGATTAATACATAATACATTACTCCTATGCACCTCTTTGCAAGTTGCCATCTGCATGTCTTTTAATTGTCCAAGAAAGGAAGCAATATGTGAACTTTAGCACCATACATAATACATAAAAATAGATCTCGTTTTTAATTTACAGGAGATTAATTTACTTGTTCATATCAATGAATTGCCCAAAAAGGCAACACTCAAGATGGGAAACAAAATTAATGCCCTAGCTATGATATTAGCAGTAATAGCATCGTTTGTTGACGTATACTTCACAATAGTATTATTATTATTACTACTATCGCTATTATTGTCACCAAGAGCATCGGTAAACAATAGTAAGGGTGGATATTGTGCATCTTTTTTGTTTGTAGAGTTAACTACCGTGGCCATACCTTTTATTTTCTCCACAAGTTCGGATGGTGTGTAATTCCCTTGGGATAACAATATTGCCATCACACCTGCGACCTAATAATGTATGTTATCAACATTTACTTATTGTTAAAAAATAATAATATTTATAAATTTACGTACATGTGGGCTGGCCATCGAGGTGCCTGACAACATATGAGTAGCAGATTTTGAAGTGTTCCAAATTGAGATAATATTTGTTCCTGGAGCATATCTAATCAAAAATCAATTAATTTAGTCGATCATTATGCGGATGTAATTATTTAAGTTAAATCTATTAAAACTCACATATCAACGCAACTTCCGGTATTCGAGTATTTAGCAATCGTGTCATCATTGTTTGTAGCACCGACCGTCAACGCGCCTTGTGCAGATGCGGGTGAAAATTGACACGCGTCTTTTCCTTCATTTCCGGCTAAAATAAAACATATCGGTTAGCAATTAATTGTTCATTAATTCTAAGATGAATTTTGAAAACTCACCAGCAATCGTGAAATGAATACCCAAATCCATTGCATTTTGGATAGCTTCGTTTGTCGCTGCATTATATTCAGCGCCCAATGATAGGCTTTAAGTCAAAGTAATCAATTAATTAATCGATATATGCGTAGAAAAATCAAGATCAATGGTGATGTTATTATCGATTTGAAACACATACTTTATGATAGTTTTTTTAGTCGTGGAGTTATTGTGCCGTTTAATAACCCAATCAATTGCTTGTAACACAGTACTCAAACGACCGGAACCATCGGGTTGTAACGCTCGCACGGAAATAACATTTGCTTTTTTGGCTACACCAAAATATTTACCGACCAGAACTCCTGCCACAAATGTTCCATGACCATTTAAATCGCGTTGCTCGCTAAGATTACCCAAAAATGCGGTGCCAAATGAGGCTCGACCCTCGAGATCATTATGATCCGTGTTTATTCCACTATTTAACGAAAAACGTTAACATTAGTCAAGTATTATTTGTTTCATATGATCAAGGGAACGAAAAGGAAAACTCACGTGTCAATCACATAGATATTTACACCTAGACCAGCATTATCTGGAAAATGATATTTATTTTCAAGAGGAAGTGATTTTTTGGTGATCCGAGACAGGCCCCAACTAGGCGGGTTTATTTCGATATTATGATAAGATTTCACCATAATATCTGGTGTGATATATTGGATAACATCACTGGAGTTAATTTGGTCCAGTGTATGATCATCAAACACTCCAGCATACCATGAAAATTTTCCAATGGATGTTAAATTCGAGGCCAAATGTGAGTTGATCGATTCATTAGCTGAGATACTTTGAATCCATTTTAAATGCTTCATGAGTTTTGAGCTGGTGGTGTTATTTTTTTTTAACACTACGATAAATCGGTTATCATCTGTGGCAGTATTTTGTGTTGATGCTGATGATTGTGCGGTTGAATTGATGGTATTGGGGATCTCAGATAACAGATTATCATTGCCACTATCATTGTTGTTGGTTTCTGATACAGATGGAGTCGTTATTGTGGATGGTGATATTATCAGGGAAGATGGCGATGAATTATGGTTTGGAAGTTTGTTAATGTGTTCCAACTGAATTTCAGAATCTCTTTTTTTTGAGCTATTATTACTAGTGTCACTACTATTCCTACTACCACTACCACCACCACCACCACCACCACCACCACTACTATTAGTAGTAGTAGTAGTAATGTGTTTTGTTATTAATATATCGTCAATTGGAGTCGCAACTGCAAAAAGACAACTATTATCATCACCATATATAGAAAACAGGTCAAGCAAATATCCTATGACAATTAAGAGCAAAGTAAAATTGACACTCAGTATTCGCATGTTAAAATTAATATAATTAAAATCTATTAAAAAATTGTTTTTTTTTTGATCAAACGTAACATAAAAACAAAAAAGTTTTATTGTTCAATTTTCTAATTATAGAACCTTTCCGTCGTCGTCGTTTTATTATCCCGATGTAAGGTCAAAAAATTTCGCGCTCAGTCAAAGATACACGTGCAAACCAGTTGCTGAATCAGAAAGAAAATGCTCTAACTTTTTACGATCAGCTAAATCACAATTATAATGAATGGGACTAGCATGCATAGTGCGTGCTAGCACACGCTCAATTATTATGTCTCCGTTATTCCAAAAAGTCAACCAAAGTAATTGTTGTTTCCTTTCTCATCAGTAAAAAAAGAGTCGCCGTAAAGAAACTAGCTCTATCGATTTATCGTGTGAGCGGAGGAAGGAATAGGATAAATGAGGAGTGGGCTGATTGTAGTTGTTGCAGTTGTGGTTGTGTAAAGGTGAGCGCGTCCTTTTTTTTTTTTATAAAATAAGGTGTTATGCGGAAAAAGAATAGGGTATCGGGTCGGGTGTGAAGAACACTTGCCCAAAAAAGGATTAAGAAGCAACGAGCAAACTAAATAAACACAATCAAAGAGTGAAGTAAAAAGGAAGCAAGATTAAAGAAAGTGAGAGAGAATAATGATTAGAAATTGTGCGATTGGGTTTTTAAAGGAAAGGAAGGAATGAAAAAGATGCGCGAATAATGAAAATGTACATTGTTTGGTTTTTTATGTATGGTAGTGTATTACTTTTCGCTACCAAAATTTAAAATATTATTTAAAATCACAAGCCATATGTACACAACAGAGTTGGATCTACTATAATTTGTGATCGAGAAAAATTCTTAGTTCAAAAATCGGGTTTCACGGAGTGTGTTCTTTAGAAAAGGATCATTGGCCGGCCGAGCAGTTTAGGATCATGTCGTGTTCACGTGATATTTGTTAATTTTCCCTGATTGGACAGTGGAACATCTCGCCGCTGATTGGGTTGTGCGTAATCAATTTTATCCAATCAGATTGATTTTTCATTGTCCAATCAAAACTTCGGGGAAATTAGTAAATACCAGCGCGATAGATAAAATCGATTATCTTTAACACATTACCCTTATCAAGAAAATGAGCGGCTACAATATTTTATGGGGTTTTGTAGCTCTAAGCGGTGCCAGTATTGCTTGTTATGTACTGACTCCCAAAGGATTGAACCAGACGTGAGTCTTTTATTTCTAAAATGCTTAATATTTTTCGTGTCTGTTTCGTGTTATTTGACCAAATAAATTTATTTTTTTAGAACTATTCGAACCTCGCTTATTCTCGCGCTGATATGTTGTTATTTAATGTAAATAAAAAAAAAAGGCTTTAACTTTACTGTGAAAATGCAATTTCTAGAAAATTCAATTATTCCATTTTATTCAATTATGATTAGGTGGGCTATCACTTACCTTGCTCAGTTACATCCTCTAATATATCCCCGAAGATCTGATTTACGCGAACATCATCCTAAATAATCATGAACAATTCATTTTGATCACCAAAGAAGAACAATGTTTTTTCTACCAGTTGTTTTATTTATTTTAAGGAAATGAGATAGAGGTTATTTTTTCTTGTGTATATTAAATTTTCGATTTTTTTATAAGTGGAAAATGAAAGAATTAAATTTTCGTTTTTTCTACATAATGGATCATTATATTCTTCGTTGCGGTTTTCAATTGCTTTTTTTTCGCAATTAGGAATGCAAGAGATTTTATATAATAAATACAATCGAATCACCATATCTATCTAATTTATTATATCATGTTCTATGGATGTCGTCAATAATTTATTTTGTTATTGTTCCTTCGTGACTGAGATAGGTGGTTCGATCTTTGATTTTCTCGAGAGCCCAATTCGAACACTACGAACACTATTAACTCCCGAATTTTTCAATATATCCCTAAGTGATGTATTATTTCCATGACCTGTATTATAAAAAATAATCCAATTAATTAAACCGATACAAGAAAGGGAATGTATGTATGTATGTATGTATGTATTTATGTATATATATTTTTTTTACGCTTACTACTAGATCGGTTTCTGCTCAACCCTAAATGAAAGATAAATAAATTCTGCCTTTAAAAAGTCTTATTGTCGGAATTATGCATAATTTTACGCGAATATCCTACCGATATTTCGTGCACGGGTGATTGCCCTATCAACCAAAGATTCATCCTGAAATAGTTAAACAAAATCTCGATCAGCAATTTTGCAATTTTAAAATTTTCATTGCGTTTGACATATAACCTTTGAAGATGACGATGATGATACTGTTCTTGTGACTATTGCAGGCGTTGTGCTTGCAACATTTAATTTTTTAATGCCGTTGTTTTTACTGCTTCTTGTTGAAACTGACTTTGATTTTTTGGCTAATTTCTTGGATTTTTTGTCATCATAATCACTATCCTCTTCCTCCGTTTCTTGGTCCATATACTCTTCTTCCATATCTTCCTTTGCCTCTTCCTCTTCTTCATCCCCTTCCTCTTCTTTTTCGGGGCCTGACCCATCTTCATCTTTACCATTTGACAATAAAGGGGCCGATTTAGTTTCATGAGGTGATGGTGCTTTCCGCTCTGGCTCTTCTACTCTATTATCAGTGTTTATCGCTGAATTTCGAGCGTCGATAGAAGTAATACTCGGGGGATGAATATCATTCTTCTCTTCAAAATCATCATGAGGAGGATCACTTAGTTCGCCACTAAATATTTCTAATAAGAATTTGTGATATAGTAATGGGTAATCGTGGACGTTACGAATCGCATCATTTTTAATTAAATCAAACCTTCTTTATCATCTTCTTCTTTAGATAAATCAATGACAATTGGAACATTTAGCCCTCCAGATTTCATTTCTGATTCTTTTTCTTCTTTTTTCACGGAACCTTCAGTTGGAGACTTTTCCTCCTCGTCTTCCTCGAGTGTCAAAGCATTCTTTTTTCTGTTTGTGCTGAGTTTCTTTGTTCTCTTTACCTCTTCTTGCGGTTTGATCTCGATTAATGCTTCTCTTTTGCCGCTTCTTGGTGACTTTCTTTTTGTTGGGAATTCTAATTCAAAGGGGTCTTCTTCGTCCTCGTACACTGTCAATTCAGAATGTAAATGTAAATTCTCTTCTTTCTTTGGCCATGTTAAAAAAAGTGCTAGTTTTAAAATAAATGCCTGTTTTCTTTTTAGGAGTTCTGTCACCAGACGGAGAACTGTCAAACTCTTTGTACTCAAAGTCCGAGTAATGAACGTTCTTACGAGTTCTTTTATTTGAAACGAAAGCCAAAAGTTAATTATTTGATGATTTTACCAAAAAAATGTTTTACAAGATAGTTTCAATGATTTGCCTTGTTGATCTTCGCGCGGATTCCATTTCACCTTAGTTTGCTTGTCCTTGATAATAATTTAATAATAGATTTTTGCCGTGTTGTTGTGGAATCTAACGCGTTTTTAATTGGTGTAACGTCAGATCAAAATAATCGCGTATTTTGACTAATAGATAAGAATATTGCTCACGGAATATGCGTTTAAACTCGAATTCATTTTATCCACTAAAACCCAAGGATGGAACTTTTTATTCACACTCATGCGTATTAAAAAATTTGTACCTTAATTATAAATTACTACTAAATAGAAGGAATTTTAGCATCATTGGCAATAATAGTAATAACAATAATAAGAATAATAGTAGTACTACAGGTAATAACGACATCGATGATGAAAATAAAATTGGAGATGAAGTGGATGATTACACTGGTTATTCTGATAGACAGAAACCAATATTATTAATCGGCGAACATGATGTTGGAATGATATCAGAGGAACAAGAAAGATCAACTTATGATGTTACCGAAATAAATGATGAAATAGAATTAAGACCACGTGAAAGAAACGTTTACTATAAATTAAGAGACAAGGTTTAATCTAAACTCCTTTAATTAATGACAATAATTCTCATCATCATTATCATAATTATAATCGACGTTCGCTAAATCTTAGGGAAGAAATTTTGTTGATTTTGCACACATTACGGTAGTGGCAGGTAAAGGGGGAGATGGATGTGTATCGTTTCTTCGTTCAAGAACAATGCCAAAGGGTCCTCCATCCGGAGGCAATGGAGGGCGTGGTGGTAACGTGACATTTTACGCGTCGCGTAATCATACATCATTGCATTATCTGCCACGATCAATTAGAGCTGGAAATGGAGAACCTGGAAAAGGAGATTTGAAACATGGTAAAGCAGGCAAAGATATCACTTTACCAATTCCCTTAGGAACTATTATACGCGAAGTTGACCCACCATCCAAAAAGAAAGACGATGATGATGAGTCCCTTTCCTCATCGTTATATGTTGATAGAAAGGCAGCACGTGAGAAACGTAGAGAAGAAACATGGGTACATTATCCTCATTACGCGGACAAAAATCAACTGGGTTCTTTTTTCTTAGAAGCCGAGAGAATGATTGAAGATGAAAGACGACATCAACGAATAACACAACAAATTAGTAGGTTAGAATTGGATTTATCCGTTGAGGATGAACAACACTTGATAACTAGAGGCGGACTCGGTGGAAAAGGAAATCCGTATTTTCTTACAAATGAAAATCGCTCACCGAAATTTGCCACTAAAGGACAACCAGGAGAAACGAAACATCTAGTTCTTGAGTTGAAATCAATAGCTGATGCTGGACTAGTCGGACTCCCGAATGCAGGAAAAAGCACATTTTTGACAGCCGTATCGAATGCACATCCAAAAATTGCCCCTTATCCATTTACCACACTAAATCCCTACATTGGCACCGTAGACTACCACGACAGATTCCAATTGACAATCGCCGATATACCTGGACTGATTAAAGGAGCACACAAAAATATTGGACTAGGTCACTCGTTCCTGCGTCATGTGGAACGATCTAAAGTTTTGGTGTATGTGATTGATTTGACCAGCGAAAAACCGTGGGAAGATTTTCGTGTACTGCAGAACGAACTGGAAATGTATCGTGCGGGCTTGACGTTGCGTCCTTCGATGGTGATTGCGAATAAAGCTGATGTTAGTGAAATTGCGAAAAAGCACTTACCGCTTTTTGAAGAGAAAATCAAAGGGAATGCTGGATCTGAGGTTGATCGTGATCTTTTAATTGTACCTGTTTCGGCAAAGTATCGTAAAAATATTACAAAGGTTACTAGTTTATTACGCGATATGGTGGAACAAACAAATAATAAAAAAAGAACATCATCTATTGAAGACTTACCTGATGATGATAATGATGATGGAAATAATGATGGAAATAATAATAATGGAAATAGTAATGGAAATAATAATGGTAATAATATCAAATTGATAATGTAAATAAAGAATCGTTTAAATGTAGCACAACTTGGTCTGTTCCACCTATTATGGGAAACTTTTGTCTAATTAATTTATCGGGAAATTTGATAGCGATAGCTCGAAATATCAAAAATTTCACCATACGTTAAAAGAATTCAAGCTTTCATCGCGTGCATATACATACAACTTATAATACAAATCAGAAAAAGACTCTCTTTTTCTCAGCAATCAATTTCTCTTAATTACTCCCAGCCTTAAAGAAAAACGAGGCCGTTGCTATTTACGCTGGAGAAATAATACATCTTTATGTAAAGTTAATGCACAAAAATTCGATCATTTTAACTGTTCTAGAAATATACAGAGTGATCGACGCGCTGTTCGTTCAAGCAAAGTTAATCCGAAGGCTTCATCAGATATTAATTAGTAATCTATTCCATAAATCATTCCTCCGATTTATGCCATACAAGATCGAAAAATTAGGAGGATCTCAATGTTCATCCACGAAATATGTTTAAAACAACTTTTATTTCAAAGAATGCATTTTAATGACGGTTGCTTTGTTCAAACATTTGGTTATGTACACAAACAAGTAAGAATGGAAAAATTTACCAGAGTTCAACGTTCAAATGGAATTAATTGGATATTTGTGGTGAAAAATGCTGAATCGTTATATTGTTCAAATTGAGGGTTGAGAAAGAGATTATTATTATTTGTAGAAGCTTGCAGTCTTATTCTATGTTATTCTATGATGATATTTTTTTTGCTAGCGTTCATATTAATATTAGTGTAATGTAATTCTTATCATTATTGTTCATTATAATACTTGAACCCAAAATGATTAAAAAGGGGTATTGTACGACTGTATTTTTAATTAATTTTTTAATGCAAAAATTTCAAATTTCAGGAAGATATTGTAGTGTAAATATCACACACACATGCAATTCATTAAAACAAAAAAGTATATTTTTTGTTCCTTCTGAAAAAATTAGTAATATATATATATATATATATATAAAGAATTCTACGTAATCGTCATGAGAATACCATATATACTTAGCGTTAGGTATTCTTTTACTCACACATCCATAATAAGTCAAAAAATATTTTTGCTCACAAGAAAATAACCAATCAAGTAAAAGTATCTTGCAAATCAACCCCAAAGCCATATAAAAGAGAGACACAACACATTTTTGTTATTATAGCTGTTGTTTTGGAGTGTACCAACACACAAATCATCACATTAATTAACATTTAAATTGACGATATCGATATATTTTACATCATATATATATACACCACTTCACACTACACCATACCCACCTACCCACCATATTAATCTTACAACTCGTTCATTTTTTTATTTTGGTTTTTGGCATTCCAAGGTAAGGTTGATTCTTTCTTTTGTTAGAAGTCTTTGTTGTGATTTCGACGATGGGCTTTACAGAAAGTGAGATTATGCAGTATGTGGTTGATGTTGCGATATTTTTGTTTTCGAATATTTACCAGAGCTAAACATCCTATTTAATTGAATACATACGAGGGTTTGCATCAGTATAAGGGGGAGAACATAGTCTCCTTAAACTATCAAAAGACTGAAAAAATTTATCTCACTCATCCGTTACTTGTATATTCGATGCAAATTTAGGGATTAGAAAAATAAATTTAGAAAATATTCATGATAACTTCACTTAATCTAATCAATTTCTTGTTAACCATATTTTTTCAGATTAAAAATTAGGATTCTTTCACTCCATTCCCATATATACACGGACGAAAAAAATCCTCAAATCCATTTAACCATACCTACACACACACATATATATATATATATACATATCTACATACACATATACAAGAAATACGACCTTTTCACTTTTTGGCTATCACGTCATAAATTTTAATTTCAATCTTTTTTTTAGCTTTTGATTTAATCATTTAATCAATTTATTCTTATTTCACAAATATTATTTCACGAATATATCAGTAACAACAATAAGAATAAGTTTCATTCTATACCACATCTCAATCAATCAATCATTTAATAGTCATTAATAATAGTTCACATAATGCCTACACCAGTTAAAAATATCTCTGAATACAAATTACAACGTATCCTTGAACATAATCAACGCCTTCGTGAGCAACTGGATTTGCCAAGAGTGAAGGTTTCGCAGGCTAGCTCAATGTATTTAATTAATATTTTTGCTATCTGCCATGTCACGAATATATTTTGTATATTAATATGTTTCAAATATATATTTAAAATTGTAGGCTTATTAAATACGTGACATCGACGAAAGATTATCTTGTACCCTCCGTATGGGGGTTACCTGGTCCAGCAGATCCATTCGTCACGAAAAGCAGTGTCGCTTGTGCCGGATGTACAATTATATAAAATATTCTTTATTTAATGCTTTTTAATTAATATTATTGTATCTATTATTGTTTGTACATCAAAACTTAAAATTTTCTCTTCCTCCTGTCATTTATTCGTCTCTTTACTGTATTCAGGACGATCATCTTATCTCTCATATATATATATATCTCTCTCCCGACCCTAAAAGCGAAAATTATATATTCGCTGTTCTTTATCCTTACTATTTTAAATTACTAGATGGTCTTTCATTATTTACTCACTCTAGAACTAACTATTATTAATAATAATGCTAATTTCAATGATTATACGCGCAAAAGGTTTAAATTGTTATCTCCTGATCTATTATTACTGATTGTTATCTGCCGAAAGAACCAGGATGTTTCCGAGCACGTGATTTTTTAAGGGGTAAACTAATTAAATCGCAAGATCAATGTGTAACGGAAAATGGTTTGTATCTCGAAATTTTTGCCTATGAAACTATTTTTTGTTGTGTTCTAGCAAAATGTTTAAAATGTTTTGTGAAATTTTAATTTTAATATATTTTTTCGTAAACAATTGACTCTGAATCCAACCTAACCTAAAATGCTTAATTCGAAGCTTGCGACTTGATTGGTTTACCCCTTAAAAAACTCACGTGCTCGGAAAAATATTTGTTCTTTCGATCTGCAAAAGAATGTGATTGGAAGTTGGAATTCCCGATCAAAATAACGCGTTTTTCTTGCGCGTCTATTTTATTTATGCTAAGCATATACTAAGCATCTAGCCACCACACTAACCAATTCTATTCATGCACTTCTATGTATATATTTGGAGGTGAAATTTATCAAAGTATCATAACAACACGTACCTTTACCACAATCAAAGAGCCGTTCCAAAATACAAATATACTTTCGGACGTGTTTGTTCTGTACTTTAAGCATTTTTTTCTAACACTAACCTGTTACTTTGTTACTTTGCCATATATTTATCATAAACACTTTCAGGCTTAAAACTATAGTACATTTATTAGACAGGCATTTTTTTTTAACCGACTGCTGACGCGTTCTAATTTCACACCAATATTAGTCTTTTTTATTTAGCGTATTCAGCGTATTCACGGGATCAAACGTTACGATATCAAATGACATGTTTAGAGACTTTTCTTTCTGAAGCACGGAGAACGTTAAATTAAACCGTATTAAATCAACTGTTACTTGCGCGTTTGTGAGGTATCCTGCAACGTGTTACTCTTACATGTAAATTAAATATTTCCATTTTAGGGCACAATGCTCTGTGAGACGTAATTGAATACCTTCAAAATATAAATTTTCTCTTTTTCCTCCATTCTAGATAATCCTCTCTTGCGGCGGTCTTGCAACGAAGATAAGAAATAAAGAGAAAAAGAGAACTAACGAAAAACCTGTTTCACTCGCATAAACGCACTGCACAGAGAATTCCACTTATTTATTGTCTCCAATTCATACTTAACTTTAAAACAGCAACGTTATGGCTCAAGTTCTGGTACCTACACCCCCACCAGGCGGTCCGCGACAAATTGCGGATTTTGTAAAACGGCCAAGTTTCGGTCGTCTAGGCAAACCAATACGTATCAGGACGAACTTTTACCCGGTGGAAATGCTGCCAACTATGAATATCCACCATTATGATGTCTCTGTTTCGCCTGACGTTCTTCCGAGGATAAACCGACAAGTTTACAACACCTTTGTTCATGTTCACGGTGTGGTGGCTCTTGGAGGCTGTAAACCCGTTTACGACGGTATATTGCTTATTTCGAGAAAATCATTTGATGATTTGTGTTTAAATGTGATTTACTTATTGTGTTGTATTTTCGATAATGAACAATAAAGGACGAAAGAGTTTATTTGCAGCAAAACAATTGCCCTTGCAAGATGCATCTAGCTACACCGTAAGATTTCTTCGCGTCAATTTTCAGATAAGTTGAATTTCATTATTAAAAAATCGACTTCATTGATTCCTCATCTTTACTGAATAAAGGTAACTTTACCTGAGGACGACGGCAGCGATGCCCAACGAGCGAGGCGGCCTCCTCGCAACTTCAAAATTACTATTAGGAAAACGACACAGATCCAAATGCAAGAACTAGAAGATTTCTTGCATGGCCGCAGTCGGTTAACCCCTACTTGCTTGACTGGTAAAATCGTTTAGTAATTCTCTTTTCGTAATTTCACCCGGTCTTATAATTTTGATTTTCTTAGCTATCATGGCATTGGATATTTTGATCCGACACAAGCCTGCAATGACCTATGCGACTGTCGGCCGTGCATTTTATACACCGGAAGGTTCCCAGCCCTTGTATGGGGGGGTTGAAGTCTGGCAAGGCTATTACCAATCTGCTCGACCAACCGCCGGAAGGATGATGATAAATGTTGACGTGAGCGCTACAGCTTTCTATGAAGGGGGGCCGCTGGTTCCAATTGTTGTTAAAATATTAGGAAGGAGAAATCCCGACGATCTTCGAAGAGGAATTGATGAGCGCGATAAAATTAGAATTGAAAAATTCCTAAAGAATTTAAAAATCCGGGTGCATCATCGTGGTGATGCGGTCGCTCATCGTCGATTTCGAATCAATAAATTGACTGAAAGATCCGCCGACCAAACTATCTTTCAAATCGATAATGAACCGGTGGATGTCGCGACCTATTTTACGAGAACTTACAATGTTCGTCTTGCGTTCCCATTTTTGCCATGCGTGGTAGTAAGACGAGAGACATTTTTGCCAATGGAAGTTTGTAGTGTTATTGAGGTATAGAAATATCATTTTCGTAACTCGTTATATTTTGTTTCATTAATCAATGAATTGTTTACTTATATTTAGGGGCAGCGATATTTAAGAAAATTGAATGAAAGACAGACGTCAGATATGATCAAGTCCACTTGTCAACCACCTCACCTCAGGGCAAACAAAATCAACGCCGGTTTGCAAATCTTGAACTATCGTGAAAACGAATTCCTGAGGGAGTTTGGAATGAAGATAGGGACGGAAATGGTTCAGGTAAGTCAACTTTCCATATATTATTGAGCCCTTTGATATCTTGATTATATTACTGATAAATATGCACATGTATTTATTAATTATTAGCCACCAGCTAGAATCCTCCCAGTTCCCACCATAAACTACCATCCTTCTTCGCGAGAACCCTCCTTTCAACCACAAGATGGCGCTTGGAACCTTCGCGGTAAGAAGGTGGCCACAGGAACCACTCTCGGATCATGGGGTGTTATCGTTTTTGGATCGGAACAGGAATTTGCTATTCACACGATCAAGCATTTTGTGCGGGAACTTGTCGTTACATGTGTTGATACTGGGATGGTAAACAATATTTTACTAATGTATGTTTATTTCATTTTGTTAATTAACCAATTAATCGTGGTTTGTTATTATAGAACATCCCTAACAGGGAACCACCAATCTCCTACGCCAATCCCCACGGCCGAATCAACGACACTTTGAATCGAGCTTGGCTAACCGCGGGAAACACAGCAAAAGCTCAACCCCAATTGCTTTTATGCATCCTTCCAAATACTGGAGTATCACTCTACGCCGAAATTAAACGCATCGGGGAAACGTCGATCGGTGTCGTCACTCAGTGTTGCCAAATTAAACATGTAAACAATGCGAAAAAACAGTATTGTGCCAATATTTGCATCAAAATTAATGTTAAATTGGGAGGAATGAATTCGTTCTTATCACCTGAATACATTGGATTCGTTGCCGAGAAACCGACGATCATTATGGGTGCTGATGTGTCGCATCCCGGTCCAGGTATAGATTGGTTTGCTTTTTTGATTTCTTGGTTAAATTACAAACCTTCAATCGGTTTCTAAATTTAATTAGGTGAGAAAAAAGCTTCAATCACTTCGATTTGTGGCTCTATGGACTCCAGAGCCTCCCGATATTCCGCGGTCACACGCATGCAAAACGCTCGCGCTGAGATCATCGCAGATCTCAGTAGTATGGTCAAAGAATTATTAAGAATTTTTTATCAAACGTGCGGAAGGAAACCAGAAAGAATTCTTTTTTATCGCGATGGCGTCTCTGAAGGACAATTCCGAGCGGTTTTGGATAACGAATTGAAAGGAATTCAAGGTATCTAAATCTTATTCTTTTTAATATAGAGAATCACTAACAATTTTTTTCCCAATCACAGAAGCTTGTCGTTCTTTAGAGGAAACCTACAATCCGTCAATAACTTTTGTGGTGGTCCAAAAGAGGCATCATACGCGATTTTTCCCACTAACGAAAAACGATGCAGATCGCTCCGGCAATTGCCATACAGGAACTGTGGTCGACGCGATGATTACACATCCCAATGAATATGATTTCTGCAAGTATCAATTTTTGCCAAAGTCGAGGAAATCGTGCGCTATTCTTTTCTGACTCGCTATTTTATTTATTTAGATCTTCAAAGTCAAGCAGGGTTACAAGGAACTTGCCGCCCTTGCCATTATCATGTATTGTACGATGAAAATGGATTGGATCCAGACCAGTAAGTTGAGAAATAATTTTGTTTTGAAATTTCAATTTGCGTACTAATTTTTTATTATGCTCATATATACACACACAGTTTACAATCACTTTCTTACAACTTATGTTATGTTTACGCACGATGCACCAGAGCAGTATCAATGGTAATTTCGCTATTTATTTTTATCTTGATTCCCGCTTATTTTTCTTAAATCTCTTTTATCATCAACAACAAAGGTACCACCCGTTTACTATGCACACTTAGCCTGTATACGAACACGCTTCCATATGCATTCTCTTGATGAATCCTCAGCAACGTCTTCCGCAGCTGAAACCGAAGAAGAGGGTCCAAGGAATTTTGTTGCAGTATTACCCGAACTTCAAAGGGTACGTTAAAAAAGAAATCGCGAGTTGCTTTTTTAGTAGATGAATTAATCTAATCTCCTTCGATCCTTTAGGTTATGTACTTTATGTGAAGTATTTAGCCCATAAACACGAAATTTTATTTATGACTGACGTTACTGATAACAATTATATTATTTGTTATTATTTATTTAGTATTGGTGTATATAGGTGTAAATATAATTGTACAATAAAAAAAAAGTATTTATTTAAGAACGATGAGTGATCTATATTCATATTTGTAAAATTGGGATATTTCCTTCGAAAAAGCCACTATGAACTATATCGATATTAAATGGTAAATACAGATATTACCTATTTTTATACTTTGTAAACAATAATAATAAATATAGTAATATAATGATAAATTATATTTCTTATTCATATTTATTTTTCTAATAATTATATAAAAAGATAGGCACTGAATGCTTTTTTACCTAGACTTAAAATTTATTTTACTGGAATTTTAACATCATTGATGTATGTGATTTATTAAGATCCTTTTAATTGGATAAGAGATATTCATTATTACATACATGGGTTTTCTTTAAGATACAAAACTATAAATAAAAATATAATTTGGAGAAGAGAAGTACTTTAAAAGGTACCACAGTTCTATATCGAGAGTTTATTAATATGTTCACTATATCGGGCAGATTTAACATATACTATTTTTGATCTTGGGTTCACTATAACTTGTAACCCGACAAATCGCTGTTTGTGTTTCGGGCTGATCACCGGACGGAAACAAGAATAATAACGACAAGGTATTCCCAAGACAAAAATCATTTTACATCATAAAACGAAGGATTGACACAGATAACGCGAATCCATGATACTTTTTTATCTATATCTTGTATTCGCAAACATCTTTACCATGAAACATGGTTTGGGTTTTTTTGATAACAAAGAAAAAATAATAAAACCATTGGAGGAGACACAAAATTTCCTTTTAAACTAAACTAAGTTATTTAACGTTTAAATCTCGAGTTATTGTTTTAATGTGGAATAGATTTTCTTTAAATTTTGTAAACAGAAGAAATCACCGCCACCATCACTTTCATCTTACTGAACAAATTTTCCCGAACCTTACAAGTAGTAGTAATAAACTCTTAATAACCGCCATTAGTTTCACATTTTTATTTTTGAGCAGTTACAACCAAAATCATAGCACAATGTTTTCAAATTTTAATAAAAATTTGAATACTGGACGTCGAAATCTGCTGAATCAACAGCAGAGAGATCGAAATTCTACAGGAGACAATAACAATACGTCAAGCACTCCCATTAATAGTAGAATACGTCGTTCGCTGACGAAAAACTCTAAACAGGCAACACCATCGCCACGGTCACAGAGTGAAGAGAAACTAGACGACCTCTTATTAGAAAGTAACATTGACGAAGAAGAGCAACCACAAAGAGAAGGAAATAGCGATGAAAATGAATCAGAAAAATCAAGTGAGAGTACCTCCACTTCTACACCTTTAGTTTCCTCCACTTCTAAGGATTTACCCATAACAATTAAAATGAAACTTGATAAGCTTAAAAAGTATGAAGCTCGTGTTCCCGGTATGAATGAATTTTAAGGAATGGCGACGCTCCTGTAATATATACAATGTATACAATAAATCTTCTTTCGGTTATCGAAATTTAAATTTAAATTTTATCTCTTATTTTGATTTAACAAAAAAGTTTTAAAGAAATCCTACGACAAGTTAGTGAACGAGAAAAAAGCTATAGAGACTGTATTGCGTGAGAATACACATCTGGATGGAATTTCAGATGTTGAAGCTTTTGAAGCTCATTTACGAAACTTGAACATAAAGAGTGAGGTAAGTGTTTGCTTGATCGATTTTTTATTTTAGATATCATCAATTTTAAGCGTTTTTTATCATGCATATAGATGTCGATGCAGGAAATAAAAAGATTGACGCAAGAGCACGATGGTATGTCATCATGATTTTCATCAAAATACAGATATTTAATAATCCATTAGTTTTTTTGTTCCCACCGTTTAGAGTTAAAACAAAAGTTCAAGGGGTTGAATGAAATTCACGAGACAGAAAAGATTTCACATTCTGAAATAATTGACGATCTTCGAAAACAATTGGAACAGCGCGAATTGGTAACAAAAACAAACTCTTTTGCTCTTCTTATCATTCACACGTTTAATTTATTCTGTCAATATTATTATCAAGGAAATAAATACTCTCAAACAAGAATTCGAAGCGCGTCTTGAAAAAGAAGGAATGGATGCTTCTCAGGACCAAGACGAGAAAAATATCACTGATACTCGAGAAGAAACACAAATAATAACAGAATCAACGAGTCTGCAACAACAACATAATATTACCGAAAAAGAACGAGAACAACTTCACCAAACAGAAATTAATAATCTAAAATTGGAATACGAGTCAAAAATAAGTGAACTTGAGAAACGAATAGAATCAATTCTCGCAAGTCAGGAACTGGTCGATGTAAAACAAGGTGGTGCTCTTGCCGATGTGACCTCGAAAAATGATCAATTAAGTGATGAAATAGTAAATTATCAAAACAAGATAAAGGAATTAGAGAACGTGAATTCTGAGCTGGCTAAATTTCACGAAAAATCCACCGAAAATGAACAATCTCTGAACGAGTTAAATGCAAAATTGCTTAAATCTAGGCAAGAACGTGATGAACTATCTGCATTTGTCGATTCACAAAAAATTGAATTTGAAACAAAAGTGAACCAACTAGAACAAGAGCGTAACGAGATATCTACGAGATCACGAAGAGAGTTTGTTGAAATGCAAGAAGATCTTGAGAATAAAGTTGCTGAATTATCTAAAGAACTTGAAATATCGTTGCTAAATTCTAAATCTCAAATCTCGGAACTAGAAAATCGACTCACCGCTAAAATTCACGAACTGGAAAAAGAACGGGATGAAATATCTGAAACCTCTAAATCTAAAATCTCGGAACTAGAAAATCGGCTCACCTCTAGAATCCACGAACTGGAAAAAGAACGGGATGAGATATCGGAAACCTCTAAATCCCAAATCTCGGAATTAGAAAATCGGCTCACCTCTAGT